ACTTCATTCAGACTTCCCACTTCATTCAGACTTCCCACTTCATTCATATTTTCATTTATTTGTTCCAGGAGATGGGATCGCTTCTCGACGCAGTAGCGATAGCCGCCATGACAGTTTTTGTTCACAGACACGAACCAAAGCTTGGCACAAGTCATAACAACACGAAGTCTGGTGTCATTAAGGGACCAGAATGGCTAGTAGCTCCTTTGATTTCCAAGCTTCCTAGCTCTGTTCAAGGAAGACTTCTCAAGGCTGCAGGGGAGGTGCTGGACACACCGAAATGGTGGAGACCCCACTCGGATTCATCTTCGTAAGTAATACGATTGACGTGTGATTTTTAGGTTGACACTCAACTGGCTTCCTCTTTCAGCCAATCAAAAATCAAGCATATGTTCATTATCCAATCATAGTGTTTTATTACAACATGAAATGTGCAGCTCTCCTTTTGCGTCAATCAATAGTCTGGGAAAAGCATACTATCCAATCACATGCCATTTCTAAGACACGGCACGGTACCATGAAACTCAAATGGGTTCTACTCTGAGCGAGCCAATGGCACAAGAACTCCGCCCTCTAATTAACGATATGTTAATTAAGTACGACCAAACGCGCTTCGTCACTTTGGTTTATATACATTTTTCGGTGTTTTCGATTATTACTCGTATTAGTTCTTGTCTTATTATATTCTGGTTTCCCTGTGGTGAAATGTACCGTGAAGAACTGGGAGCAGTATTACCTCCGCTACATTCTCTTCTGTACTCCACCACAGGAAACCCAATCAAAACGATGATGCAAATCATAGTAAAGTTCGTGTATTTCAATAGCTAATGAGTTACTAAACTCTGTGATATATTGTTGCAGGCATTCTCTTATCCACACCCAGCCATTCTTGTCACTGGTCTTAGAGTGCCTCAAGGGTCAGGAGGAACAAAGACAAGGACTGTTGCTGTCAATCAGTAAACAAATCACTCATCTATTGGCTGCCCCAACCGAGGTAAAAAATACTTGGTACACTGTGGTTAATACCCGCAAAGACCTAAAGGGAAATGTCCCCACTCTCATTTAGCCCGAGGTTATATAGATTCTGGGTACCCTGTGGTTAACACCCGCAGAGACCTACTGGGAAACGTGCAGTGTGGCCGCCCACTTTGTTTAACAAGATACAGACTATATTTTGACTTCAATAACATGTTGTTCATTGCTTGACAGGAGAGATGTCCAGCGGATGTCAAAAGTAAAGAGGCGTTACAAGAAGCGTTACATTTACGCATAAGTTTGGTGAGTTCAAGAAATTAAATCAGTCCCTTTTCTGGTGTAGCTTGGTAACAAATACTTCAGCCCTAAAATGTGGGGGGAAATTTAGGGCACAAACTGGAGAGATATTTAGATTGAGCCCCAAATTCAGTACCAAAATATGTCAGATTTTTCCCTAGACCATTAATATCTGCCTATGTAACTAGTGCCTTAATACTGTGTTGCGATACATTGCTTGATAGGTGGGCGCCATGTTTGATACTATACAGCGAAGTGTCACGCTATCCAGTGACTGGGCAACGTTACTCTTTCAACTCGTCAGCTCAGGGACCATAACTGCGGAATCTCTGCCTTCTAAGAAGTAAGTTGTCATGTCATATTTTTATGACCGCGCATAGCAGCTTTGAATCGTGTTTCTTGGGGGGATGGTCTTTCCTACGATAGCGAGTGATGCATTCTGTTCTTGCTTGGGTGAAGCATGTACCTATTTATTGCGTTTTTGACTAATTTTAATAAACACTACGAGCATGCGAAGATATTTTTTGATTGTCGAGAAAGACATCAACTTTAAGAAGACCGCGCATAGGAAAAAACGAGTGCGCACGGCTGTCCTGAAGACACGTCGTCATTGCTAAGTCTTCATAGTCATTCTGCCAATCGCAGATCCCATTACATACTACTTTACCACTGTATACCTTTTTTCCAGGAATACTAACGTGTTATTATTGTATAGGGAATTACTGACCACCGTGCTGGACATGGTGTCGGTTCTTATCAGTGTTGTTACCAACACCGAGGGCACTGCTGGTCAGCAGATGAACGATGAAACCAGAAAAGCAGCCATCACTCTCTTCAAAAAACTCAAGGTATCGAAAGAACCCTTGCAGCACGTCGGAATGCACCTCAGTTTTGAAAAAAAACATACCGTATTTGATCATTCTAAATTCTTTTCTTTTTTTTCTAGCGTGAATTGGCGGGTAAAAGTCCAATAGATATTATGCAATGCAAGCAGCTCCTTCCTTTGCCCTCCCTGTCTCACACTGTACACACCATGGAACCCATGAAGGATAGTGATAAAACTAGTGGAGCATCACAGGCTAATGTACAGGTAAATATGTCTGCACTGACGCAGATGAAAACAATTCCTACTTGTGAATCCTGGGTTTTTATCGTCCCTGTTCAATCCATTCAATCCAGGATTGGCGTAGAGCGGTTATTGTTTGGTAAACGCACGGTACTGCCTCACAGCACGTACGCGGTACGACATGACGTAATATTGAAATGGTTTTCCTTACGAATGGTTACTGTATGAGTGGGAAACGTACGGCACTGACTTAATGTATGACACGACATGCCATAACATTGAAATGGCTTCCCATTGTCTTTCGCTTATTCATCCAATCACAACACGTTTTTACAGCATCGTTACGAAATTGGCGTATCGTTTCCCACTCATATGAAAAATACTTTCTTGTGTTTTTTTTGACCGCATTGAGATTGCACAAAATTTTTTCTCTACTAAAACACCTCTACATTACCTTGGCTCACAGTTCTAAAATCACCGCATTGGTTTCCCGAATGCTTTGAACTCCTTCCTGCAGCGGGTCCAAAGCACAGCAAATATGAAAAAATCACATTGGACCAAAAACAAACTTGGGAGGCGTTTGACGCCGTCACAGTCACGGTCACACAATGGTATCTCGAATTTCAAGAACCATAAAATCTCTTATTTTTATATCTTAGGGCCTCAAAATAAATGGCAGACAAAAGATAAATGCTTGGGACCTTATGGAGGGACACAAGAATCCCGCTCCTTTTGCCTGGTCATGGTTTGGCTCCGTTCGTATTGAGCGCCGGCCTTCTCGTTACGAGCAGGAGTTCCGCAAGCTGTTGCGCCACACCCATCCGAGACGCAAACCCAACAGCTATTTTATCAACCCTCCGCCTGATGATGATGATGAAGATGATGATGACGAGAAAATGGAGACGGACGATAAGAGTAGTGCGCCATCGACACCGCAAACACCAGCTGAAGCTAGAGGTTAGTACCTAAAGGAAGTTGTCTTTTTGGATGAGCGCAATCGTATCGGGACTTTTGAGATTTAGAATTGTCTGTTTTTCTGTCTCTCTCTGGTCTGTTTGTAGTCTCTGTTTCCGGTCTGTCTGAGCTCTGTTTGTCTGTCTGTCGGAGCACTGATTACTTGTCTGTCGGTCTGCGCTCTGTCTGTTTGTTTGTCTGCGCTTTGTCTGTCTGTCTGCGGTCCGTTTATAGTCTGTCTGTCTGTCTGTCTGTCTGTCTGTCTGCGCTCAGTCTGTCTGTAAATAAGTCTGTGGTCTGTTTGTAGTCTCTGTTTGCGGTCCTCGGTCTGCCTACGCATACTTCCTAACGTGACTTAGAGTAAATTTCAAGTATATGTATTTCGTATTTCCAGGTCAGCTAAAGTCAGTTGGTACCCCAGGAACACCTGGATCTGCTTCATGTCCAGTCCAACCTACAATCACTATCTCTCAACCAGAACAGAAACAAGCCACACCTGACGAGAAGCAAACCAAGACCAAGGCACCGCGACAACGTCGACGACAGTCAACCAAGGGACCAAGTCTGGCACAACAGAGAAAAATGCAGCAACAGCTGCAGAAACAATCTGGTATGCTGTATCAACAGCCAGGAATGATGTATGGACAACAACCTGGACAACAGTTTTTGCAACAAGCACAACAGCAAGTCATGCCTGGACAACAGGCTATGCCTGGACAAGTCATGTCTGGACAAGCCATGCCTGGACAAACCATGACTGGACAAACCATGGTAGGACAGAGCATGCCAGGGCAAACCATGCAAGGACAGACTATGCCTGGACAAACCATGCAAGGACAGACTATGCCTGGACAATCCGTGGCAGGACAAGCTATGCCTGGACAGAACATACCTGGACAGGCTATGCCAGTACAACAAAGGTAACATAGGCTACTCCTATTAGAAATTACGTGCGTAATGCGTGGTGTTTGTCTATTTCAAATCCTTGATTCTTTCTTTGCATCTTTTCCATATTAAAATTATTAATGTATCTTCTCAAGTGGTACTTGGAAATTGTAAGCAAAGGAATGACACGGTCTGAAACCGATAAACGTTATGCCTAAAGACAAAGAGGCTGCGTCCTGGGCATCTCTTTATCTTTTTTACTATGGGGAAGGGGGAGGGGGGGGGGATTTCTAATACCATACAGTATCAAGAATGGCCCATTTTTTGTCACACAGTGATTTTATTTTGGTTCAGTTTTATAACATCCTTTCACTGACATTGACATTGTATTTAATGTTTGCACCCAACGGTCAAAACTGAACGGTCAAAACTGAACAAAACATATCCGAAATTCCACTTGAAAATTGGGTCGTTTTCAGATCATCGAAATATGTTGGAAAGTCTTTAGAAACGCCTGAACAATTTGCAACCTTTTAGGCGCTTCTAAGGCTAAGAAGGAACGTACCTCCAACACGAATATTTCCCTGATATCCAGGAGAAAAATGTCAAAATACTCCAGCTTCGAGTTGGCTGTTGCTCAGGGTTAACCTCAACTTCATTCAGAATATTCACGTGTTCCAGTGAAGGTCCGTGGAATTTCGAAGTTTTTGGATCGTTGGATTTGTGCATTCTTTACTTTACCATTGGTATTTGTGAATATTTAGACACTGATTCGAGGTTAAGCCTAAGTAAATGAGTCTGTAATCGAGAAACCCAGCGGTAATTTGGAACTCTCCAAAGGTCTATTCTAAAACTCCTCGGGGTAAGAGGGAGTGGAAAGATCCCTCGGAAAATTTAACTGCAATGGCCCATTTTTGTATAGAGTCGGTGCTCAAGATTCCAAACTAATCATCAGGTCGTTATTGGTCAACCGAGGCCAGACTCAGCAAAGATCTCAGACCAACCAAGCTATATTTCAGCTTCTCAACCAACCACAGCAACAACAGCAGCAGCAGCAGCAGCATCAACAACCACAGCAAGGTCAACAGGCTCTTTATAGCTTACAACAACAGCTTCAGAGGACGACGCAACAACAGATACAACAGCCAACACAACAGCTGAGGCATCTGCCTCAGCCACAAACCACGGTAGGATTACAGTGAAACCTTGGTTTAATACGTGCGCTTGGGGGGAACAGAGAAATTGCCTGTCATTAAGAAGTCTCTGTATTAAGAGGGTGCCTCGAGATAAGAGCACTTCTGCCTCAACCGCAAACCACGGTAGAATTAATTGAAAACCTTAGTTTTCATTTGGGGAACAAAGAAAGTGCCTGTCATTAAGAATTTGTCAGTATTAAGCGAGAGCCTCGAGAGTACCTCTGCCTTAACCACAAACCACGGTCATTAAGAATGTGTCGGTATTAAGTTGGTGCCTTGAGAGTACTCTTAGGTTTCGTAGATTCTTTAGCGTTTTTCACTTTTCCTCTTGTGGCCTTGTCTTTCCCTCGAGTATCATTTTCTTTCCTTACCTCTCTCTTATTTTGTTTTTCAGATGCAGGCTGCTGGGCAGACAGCATTGAGACAGGACCAGACGTACAGCTTCAGTCAGTCACAGAGACCCAAGAGTCTGCAGATTCCCAGCAGGGGGCAAGTACAGCCACGTGGAACCACACCCTCCACTCCCACAACTATGGGTATGCCTACAACAGTTCAGGGCATGAGTGCCCCTGTAGGCTACGGCACTCAAACCTTCCCAGGTGAGTATCCGATATTCCCAAGTTGTATATGGGGATCAAGATTTACCCGGTTGAGATCGGGACTAAAGGCAAACACGTGTAACCACACCCTTTACCCCAAAAATTATCGGTATGCCTACGGGTATGTACAGTAAGGGGCATAAGTATTTGCGTAATAACCCGGGATTATTTAATACCCGAGCGTATAGGGGAACTTTTATCCTGTACCCCACTAAGATTGACGCTTTCGTCTTGTGTATTTAAAAGGTTTTTTTGTACTGAAACGTATATCGTATTAGCAGGAGCAGCTGTTTCTCAGGCCCTTAACCGACCAATGCAACCACAGCAAACCCAACAACAACAGCAACAGCAACAACAGTTTGCCCTCCAACAAGTAATGCAAAACCAATCTCAAGCTCAATCTTCAGCTGGTCACCTTCAGCATCAAGTGGCTCAAACTGGGCATGTGCAAATGAGTCAGGCTTCTCAACTTCAACAACCCATGCAGACAACACAGTACCAGCAGCAAGCAGCAAGCAGAGTGAATATGACAAAACAAGCTGCTCTGATGCTTAAAAAAAGACAACAGCAGCAGCAGCAGCAACTACAACTGCAAGCATTTAAACAACAACAACAACAGCAGCAGCAGCAACAACAGCAACAACAACAACAGATGCCACGAGAACTGATTCGACAACTACGTCAATACACAGGTATGTACACTGATAATAGACCCCTTGCTGCACGTCGGCATGCAGCTCAATTTAGAGGACATCATAGGTTTCCAATTCTTAGGAGATTGAGATTCTTTTGTTTGTTCAACAAATTGAGCCGCTTTGACGTCACATGAAAGGGGTCTACATTGGATGGTTTTGAAAGTCTTTTCCTGTTACCTTTTTGCATTTTGATACTTTTAGGACATTCTTTAATTTTGCCACTGTAAGAGTTTAAGTTTTTGGAAAGTTTATCTGATCGCTCCAACAGTTTTGAAGATGATTTTGATTAAGTTTCTTTTTGTAGTACTTGTTCCAGGAAAGTTTTTTTAAAATGAATGTCACTTTTTAGGAGGAGATATCAGCTTGCAGTTCTCAGGTAACGAAGAGATGGGAAGTCTACAGAGACAGCTGTCTGCTCCAGCGGATGTTGGCCTGCAAAGACAAGTGTCACAGGAAATGACGTTTCAAAGACAGCTTTCAACTCCCGTACCTCAGGAACTCACTCAACAACCACAACAACAACAGCAGCAACAACAACAACAGTTTACTACCAACCCTCAGTTTCAACCTGGACAATTTTGACGACTCTCAGCGCTACAAAACGAGAAGCCATAACAAAAGTGCTTTCTCATTCCTACTGAGGATTTCTTATCCTTTTATCGACACAGAGGAATAAAGTCACGCGATTCAATGACGTCAATACCACAGGTATCCCAGTCCAATAAATGTAATGAATACGAAAGTAAATAAAAATGAAATGTAAATTAAGGTAATGATTTAATTTCATTCTAAATATATATATATATATGCATTTCGATGATATTTTATTATTTTTTATCCATTCTCCGTGAGAATGCTGTCTCAACATTTTTACTGTCGACTAGTAATGGTAAGTCGTTCTAACAACGTGAAATCTAGTAATAGTGGTTAACAGCACGAAATTGTATATATTTTAAAGCAGAAATAAATTGAAGAAAGGAATGTTTTAAATTCTGAGTTATATGCGCAAGAAACAGATGCATTTTGGGTGATGTCTGCTCTAGTACCCAGTCTACATAAGGTACAATGGCTAATGCATTATGGGTAATGTCTCCTTTAACTGAGGAATGCATTATGGGTAATTTATTCGCGTTTCCGGTTTTCTTACACATTCAAAGAAGATAACTGAAAGTAGACTAACAGTTTAAAACTTCTAGTACATCATAGAATCGAGATAAATAATAAGTTATTATCAGTGGGTAGAACAAAGACTAATTTGCTTTTTATTTTCAAAATATGAAAAGAAGAAAAAATTATCTTTAAGATAATCGTTCCAGCGCGCAATAAACATGGCGTAGTCCTTTCAGCGGGTAGTTTTTTTGACAAACGTGATCTTGAACGATCTTCCATGGACCCACGCACAGCATCAAGCGCAATAAAGCATTCGAGTAACGACAGATAAATGATCTAAATCGGTAGGGAGGATCATGATGAATAACTTTGCGTTAGATAACAGTCTATACAAGCCAATACTAATCCTCTTTGTTCTTCATGGCCCCATGCGATGGATTAACTTCGTCATGAATCTTTTACGAACTCTTCTACGAAACTCTATAATATTTTAGAGCTGATACGGCTCGTTTAAGGACTTGCTTAGATGAACTTGAAACCAATCCCGGTCGCTGGCACATACTGAACCGTCATTAATGTGTGTTACAAGTGGGGGTCTGGCTGTTAGGCACGAAAACAAGAAACGAAATTCTTATTTGATACTCCACGTCCAACTGAGAACTCTCCTGGATTTGGCGCTCAAAAGAAGCCGTTCTTAAACATTTTCTTTTTATAGTTTATAGGTCAGAGTAAGTCGATCATTTTGGATTCTTTCTTCGTCTTCCAGGAAGAGGTTGAGTACTTTGGTTTTATGACTTGATCAGGGACAAAACTTGATAAAACGTTATGAAAACTGATTCAACTGCTATTTGACAATGGATGCCAAAATTCTATTCGTGACTTCTCAGTAATCTGTGCAGGTAACGTGATTAATTTTACAAAATAGACGTTTGTTTTAGAATATTCCAACTTGAAAAACTTAATTATGTTTTGTTTTTCGTACGAATTTTGATTTCAACCCTTCTAATTCACGGTCCTTGCCTTGCTTGAAAAAATACATATATTTATCAGTGTAAACGTGTGAATTTTGTGCTACTTTTATATCATTAATTCTATTATCTAGACAGAAAAAATATATGGCCTGGTAGAACCCAATTTGATGCCCAGTTCAGGTTCATTTGTCATTGTAAACCAGTCTGTCCCACGTGGTCAGTCTACGTTTCATCATAACTGCTGAGATCAATTGTTATTAGAAGCGCGAGAGTCGTGGCGCCACCAACACCTCCTTAAAAAACAGTAATTTTTCAACACTTTTTCTGTTTGACAGTTGCTATCGGCTTGTAACCCACTACATTCTTCAGACTGTACGTCTTCTACAAACCGCAGTCAATTGACCCGCTCATATCTTAGATTTTCTCCCCAAAGACGCCACTGAATTTCAGCTTCAGAATTGTGCTAGAAATATTCAAGGACAAGCAAGAATCTGCTAAAAAGACTCAACTATGAGGTAAGATTCGGTTTTGTTTTGAAAGTGAATTAAGAAAGCTGCTTACTTTATGATTCACTATATTGGCACTTTTTTGCGTCAGTCCAAATGTTTTGCGTTTCGGGCAGCGTTTCGTTATGAATGTCAACAAATCGTTGGAAAATTTACCCACGTTATGTAGTCTTTGGGATTGAACTCTAGGTCGTAGAAAATAAAATCATTGCATCGTTCTAGCCTCTACTGGGCAGCACGAGGCAGTCGAGAGCATTTACGAGAGAGCATTCATTTTTAAGTGCAATTAAATGACTCTTCTCAAACACCATCCATTTATGCTCAAGGCTACGTTTAATTCTAACCACAATCAAGAATTTCTTACGCTTAGCTATTAATTTCGAGTCCCAAATGTGGTTTAAATCTAAGTCAATTTAGAAATAACTGTTGGGCGTTAGTTCGGTTGCATATTATTGAATATTATTACGCTATTCCTGATGAAGCACTCAAGTATAGCTGTCAATATCAGTACCACAAGTGACTTTAGATAACTTTTCAATAGAGATATTTAGTATCAATTAAACTCTGAATTAGTGATTGATCTCAATTCAAGCGACAGCTCTTCAAGAAGGGTTAAAGCAGTTTTATACCAGAACAAAGACCTCGCCGGACGGCTCAGGAATTCCATGAATATTTCATCTGTTGTACTGTCGTTGACTTCTGCATTTTTTTTCGACTGATTTGAACTTTCTAAACTGACTTGATACTTAAATAAATGTTTATTTTTGGACTTGGTGTCCAATTATCACTTTAATGACTATCTATTAAAGATTAATTGTTTTACGAGTTGAACGAAGAAAAATGATGATATCACAAACGACTGCTTTGATTATTTCTCGCGGTCCCCCTTCGATTTCCAAGAGATTCTGAGCCGACCGAGAAACGAGGTTACAGGGTCGGCTTTGAGCATTTCTTACTTAGGCTTAATTGTTCATTAGTTATTTCATTCACCTAGGGTCTAATGACGTGCTGAAATCCTTCTCTCAGCACGTCGTCAAGAAGTCGTGACTCGGTTTGTCTTGAATTCCATTATCATTATATTCTTGACCGGATCCCTTATCTCTAGCACTAATATAAGCAAACCAAGCCTATCAATATCTCAAATGGTCTTAATTTTTTACTCTATCTTATGAGGAGCCTTCGTTGCCTACCCAAGGAGAGATGTAACGGGAGCGGGAAAGTCGAATAATATGCTTAAATAAATGAGTCTCTAAAAGAAATATGTAGTAACTAACAGTCACCTAAGATTTTCATTGACGATTATATATATTGCTCATGTACGTCGTGCAAGGACGAGGTCACTTAAACTCAGTAGCCGATCTTTGTTTAAGATGATATTCTGGAAGCGCGCCACTGATTGACCGACTTACCTTGGCTTTCTTTCCTAGGGTAAATGCTTGTTTGGTCGTACTCGTTCTCGCCTTTCAGATGAGCCGAGGAATCATATCACCCGGGAAACGCGTCAGAAAAGGTGAGTGATACTTGATTATTGGTGTGTACTGAAGGGCAGATTAACCTGTACATGCCCAAGGGTGGATATTCAAGATTGGCTCTGCTCGCTCGCTGGGGAACCAGTTATTCACATGGTCTAGACCGTGCATTCTATGAAAGGAAGAGAGTTCACAGAGAAAGACAAATTTAAAATTGATTTATTTGATAAGTTTTGGCTTTGGAGGTAAAGACGATTGTCTGAAATTTATATGAAGAACGTTTTTACGTAACACTAATGTAACTGTATCTTACATAACGGTAATGGAACTAGTTTCTTATGAAAAGGAAACTCCGATACTGACTTAATTGCTGTACCTACACGGTACGACGTGCCGTAACGCACTTAAATGGCTTCCCATAAGAATGGCTTTTGTCTGAGCGTACACTACAACAAGCTGTAACATTGAAATGGCTTCCCAAAAGAATGGTTTTTGTATGAGCGTACACTACAACAAGCTGTAACATTGAAA